GAAATCTTTAATTTTAGAACTTATAATTCTATATATACAAAGTTTTTACTTGAACATTATATTAATAAAAAAAATAAAATAAAAAAAGTAATTACAAAAAGAGCTATTCTTAGACTTCTGTTACTAAAAAACCTCAAATATGGTTTATAATATTAAAGAAAAAAAAAATACCTATTATTTAATTGAACATAAAGAATTTAACAAAATTTATATATCTGTAAGCTAAGTGACTAAGTGATTAAGTAACTAAGCAATTAAGCAACTAAGCATTAAATAACTAAATAACCAAATAACTAAACAATTACTAAATAACTAAAAAGTTCTAGCAACTAGTAACTAAACAATTACTAAGCAACTAATTACTAAATAACTAAGTAACTAAATAGTTAAAATAAAAAATAATATATATATATTATTTTTTACTTATATTATATTGTTATCTATTTATGAGTATACTACTATCTACTTATGCATATACTGCTATCTACTTATTTTATAGTTATCTATTTTAATCTCTAATAAGCTTAATATTTGTTTTTTTTTAATAATTCAAGTAATATATAGATAGCATTTGCATTGTAATTTAAGAGCCACTATAGCATGTATTGAGAATAAACACACAGTATCATAGCTAATAATAGTAATATATCCTAAATAAAATCTTAGTTAATTTTTATTATTACCTTATATATGACATAATGTATACTGGTTTGGTAATTGTGGCTGATTTTTATTGCTAAATTACATAAGTAAAAAAATATACAGATGATGCATTAGGTCATGTATCATTATTTGTAGACCTGATATGAGAGCTAATACTCAAACCTAACATGAAATGCCTTAGCTTCTAGTTTATTTCTCTATAAGAACCAGAGTTGAGGCACATAATGCTAAAATAGTATTTATAACTTGGCTTTGTATAATGTATTCAAATACTAATTAAGAATAATGCATATAGTGCCAAATTGCTAACTGTTATAATGTACTCAAATATTGATCAAAGTTGAGGCACATAGTGCTAAATTGTTAACAGTTGTTAGCTTTATATAATTTATTTAAATATCATTCAATAATGAAACATATAGTGCTGAGTTGTTAGCAGTTGTTAGCTTTATATGATTTATTTGAATATTGCCTAAGAATAAGATATATAGTACTGAATTATTAATATATTTAGTAATACATCAAAGCATCTGATAATAAGACATGTAGTGCCAAATTGTTAGCAGTTGTTAGCTTCATATAATTTATTCAAATATTGCCTAATAATGAGACATGTAGTGCTAAATTGTTATTTTTATTTGGTATTCCACCAAAGCATTTAATAATAAAGCATGTAGTGCTAAATTGCTATTACTACTTGGTAATACTTAAAGCATTGCAATAAGTATATCTGTTTTTATTTGATATAAAAATAAGATATTAGATATAAAGATAATATAATATAATAGATAGATATAAAAAAATTTTAATGTAGTTAGAACAGCAATCTGCATTTTTTTTGATGCTTTTAGTTAGATTAAATCAGTTTTCAAATATTGATAAAAATCTTGCAGTATTAGTCCTAAGGTTGAGATGATGATCTGGATATCTGAATATGACTTAGTAAGTTAATACAGATTACAGATTCAAAGGGTTTAAAGTAAAACACCCAAGCAGAAGTGTTAGGTATAGCAATTGGTAAAGAACCTTTGGGCAGACTTTTTAAATAGGTAATATAAAAAAGTTACATGTGTAGCCAATTGTACTCTCTCTTGTAATGATTCATTGAACCGCAATACCAATAAGTGATTAATAAAAGTCAAAAAACCAAAGAGGTCACCTTAATACCAAAAAAAAAAAAAAAAATTTGCAGATTGCTGTTTCAAAAATCAAGCATAATATATTTTAGTTTTTAAAAGCTTTTTTTATAAGTAAATAATCAAACTATATTTGTGAATTGCTGTTTTAAAATTTTAACTATATTAGAGTGTAGTGACTTAGTGAAGTGGATAAGTTGACAATTCTCCAAGTGGTAGGTTGGAAGTTCAAAACCCACTGATGGCAAAAATTTAGAAAATCACCTATGTTATATTAGTATATACAGGCATCTGTGCAATGTTAGAGTTATACAAAAAAATGCAAACTGGCATTAGGTAGTGCAAACACAAGATAAGTTCTTGAAACTAGTATTATAGCAACAGCAATTTGTTGATTAGTTGGAATCAGTACCTGTAACACAGTCATACCAGATAACTGGCAGATCATGGGGCATCTGTGCAATGTTGAAGTTACATGAAGAAATGCTAACCAGTATCAGGCAGTACAAATCCAAGATAAGTCTTTGTGGCTATGTAAATCTGTGAACTGGGAAAACTGAAGCCCACTTGGGAAGACCCAAGTAGAGAGGTAACACAGATCTTCAACAGTACTACTGTAAAGGCTAGACCTAGAAAACAGATACCAATATGGAAGGAATCGGGTAGACAAGAACTTTAGGTAAGAGGTACCACCAACCAGGCTGCCAGAAGTCTTAAACTGAAGGAAAAGAATCTTGGGAAGCAGACCCTGGGATACTAGGAACAGGTCATAGTTCTACTAGGCTATCTGAATTGGAAGTCTGAGGTCAGAGACAGGGGTATACTAAAGTACTAAAAATATGTTGTGAAGTCAGTGCTAGGGTCTGAATGAACTTTGCATGGGTAAGCCCTGTTAACAAGATACTAAATATGAATAGTTAGTTAGCAGAAGGGCCTCCTGGAGCCTTACAAGTCAGGTGACATACTCTGAAATGTGTAACAACTTGATGGATGTACAGACAGGAAGGTAACAGTTAGGTTAGACAGTACTTAGATATATAGGAACTTGTGTGCTATTTGTTGGTGTAAGTATAGGAATCAGAGTATTTAAATAGATAATCTCCTAGTAAATTGCAGGTATGGCAGCTAGTGTAGAATCTGCTATGCAGGTGGACTACTTAAATTAGACAACCAAAAGTTATATGTGTGACTAGTTGTATACTCACTTTGTACAAGTTATGTAATCATAATTAAAATATAATAAAGGCAATAGCCACTGATAACTATGGCTTTAGCAAAAGCAAAAAAAAAAAAATTTAACTATATCTGTATAGATAACTATTCATTATATCTAAATATTGCTATTCTAAAAATTCAACTATACCTATACAGATTGTTATTTTATTATATCTATATGGATTGCTGTCTCATAAATTGCTGTTTTAAAAATTTATATAGATTGCTAACTTATTATACCTATATACTTTACTGTCTTATTATACCTGTATGAATTGCTGTTCCAAAATTTTATCTTTTATTTCAACTAGCATAAAGTGCCAAAACTATGCAATACAAAAATAGTTATCGATTACTTGTATAATAACTAGAACTTAACTGAAATTATATGCATATTTTATAATGTGATCTAAAAACTCTTTTTGTATAGTCTAGATATCAAAATATTAATTTTTGATTGAAATTTTTTTCTTGTACTTATTTGTAAAAAATAACAAAAATCTCTTTACTCAAAATATATGCTTAGATAAATATAGTAATATACTTCTAGCCAGAGTATTTTACTTAACTGAATATATTATTTTAAAATACTATTCTTTATTAAATTCTTTTTTCAAATTAGAAACAACAATTATCTATATTCAATGAGAGCCAAAGATCTATTTTTTAGCTCTTTTTTATGTAATGTGGTAAAACCTTTTATTTTAGTTTTAAAATTTTATTTGTATTTTAGAAAAGCAATCTCATTCATACTTTTGTGCTCTTTTTTTTGATTATCTCACATTTCAAAGGCAATCTTGGTTCTCTATTGTTCTAACTTTTCTTAAGACATTTGAAATTTTTGCTGGTTTAAAAAAATATATCACATATTGTTATTTTTTTGATAATATTATAGCTACTTTATAACTGCAAAATAAAAATGCAAGATTATAATGAGATTGATATCAAAGCTTTTACTTATACCAAAATATATGAAGAGAAATGCTTGGCTAAAGCTAGATCTAATTTAAATATTTATTTGTAGTTATGCAAAAATCAATATCAATAGAAAGCATTCTATAAAGATATGAAGTAGAATTATAAATGATGTAATAGTTGTTCTCATATATTTGAATAAAAATATTGATATATATTTGGAGAATTATTATATAAGAAATTTTCACTTCAAAAATCCAAATTTTTAAAAGGTTTACAGCTTAATAGGCATAATAAAAAATTATATTTGGCCTTTAAATATAGTGGCAATCAAACATTTTTAAATCTTTTCTTTTTTTTATCTACAAGGACAAATTAATTTAAATGCACAAATTTAACATGATTAGAAGAAAAAGCATTCTGTTTTAAGAAAAGTATAATTCTTATTACAATTTCTTATTGTGTTGTTAATCTGCCAACTTTCATTAAGAATGTCTTGAATGTATTCAGTTTTTTTCTAATACTCATCTAGAAGATAAATGCACATTCTTTACAATTTGAAGTTCTTCTTTTACAAATAGGCATCTTAGACCATTATATAGTTTGTAGAGAACTGGCAGGTTATTTTTTCTAGAAAATGATTTGATTGAAAAAATTTCAAAAAACTAGTTACAATTAGTAACCTTTCTTCTTCAGTCTTCTAGTTTACCAGATTCTAATAAATGCCAAACTTTAACATTAGATGATAGAAGAGGTTCATTATAACCTATGGGCCTTTTGTGCTTAATAGCTAGATTTGCAAAGATTTTTTTACCTTCTAATAATTTTTTTACAACTTCATTAGGCAATATATATATTAACTTCATAGAAGAATTATTATATTTATTATCATTAATGTAAAAGTCTACAACCTACTTTCTAGATTTATCATATCCAACTAATATTGTATCAGTTATATCAAATACTGAAAAAGGTAATTTTATTGTTCTTGCAGAAGTTCGATTAGGACAAAGGCTTTATCAGATAAAAAAATATTATCCAACTGCTAATAAATATGTAAAAATATTAGAAATTAGTATATTAAAACAAGGTGCATATGAGATTGTATTTTTATTTTGGACTAACATTCAGAAATATGATAATTAACTTAGTTATATACTAGCATAGAAGAATATCTATTTCTTATCAGAAGTTAGATCTGATATCAAAGATAAACTTTATAGGATCAGTCAAACAAAACTTATTAATGATATTATTGATTGTTTGGCAGAACTTAAATTATATTATGAAATATTACAACAAGCACTATCACAACCTTGCTATGCATTATTGCACTTGCTATTTTAGATGCTATATTACAACAACCAGTATTCCTTATGACTGATATGCAAAAAATAATTCAAGATGCATTAGCAAAATAGTAGGCTGAATTTAATACCTCAGTTTTATTTAAAGATTATGAACAAATTTATGAATTTTATAAAGATGAAAGAAATCCTAGATAGTCAAATCTTTTTAGAGAAAAAGCACTATAGTTAATAGATAAAGCTTTCCTTTCTTTTATACCAAGTAAACCAGAATAATTACATTCATCAAATCAAAATGCTAAAATGGATAAAATAGAATCAAAAGTAGATAAAATTAGCTAAATAACATCTTAATTCTGGAGAATAATGCTTGATAATAAACCCAAAAAACCTATAGCTAAATCAAATTCAATACATTAATATTTTTCTTTACTAATGCCTACTCAAGTTCAATATATACTTTTCAATTTAGAAGATATTGATGAGGATGATAAAGGTGGATATAATGAGAAAGAGAATAATTAGCATGTTCTATTTTAGTCTAAAAAAAAACAAATATTACCAGTAGGCTCAAAGAACTATAATTCAAAGAATCATCAAATAGTCTGCTTTGCAATAGATAATAAATTATATGTTGATATACCACCTAAAACTTATAATCAACTAATGAATTCATTATTATCAACAATGCAAAAAATATGTAAATTTTTATATACTGCTAAAAGATCCAAGGATTATCTTATAAATAATGAGAAAGCAAATAAATAGTTTAAGTTTCTTCAATATTTAGTTTGCTATATATATGATTTAACAGTTTACAATACTTATCTAGATCTAGATAATAAATTCAATGCTGTAAATAAAGCATTTGGTAAAGCCTTAAAATAAAAACCTGGCAATTTATTAACTTTTCTATATAAAGGTAATTCAGAACATATTAATAAATCATTAGGATAGTATAAAAATATACTAATCTCTTTAAAAAATAAGAAAAAAATATTTGTTACTATTTTTGGAAATTTTGCATATATCAATAATAAAGATTCAGAACCTATAGTTTGTTTAGATATGGCATGAATTTGAAAAGCCAAATGTGTTTTAGATGCAGATAAAAATCTATTTAGTACAGAAATATACAAAAACTTTTATATTATTTCAATATTTAAAAAACTTATAGAAATTAGTAGACTATTAAGCTTTCATGCTATTGCAATACAGAACAATGATACTAAGCAATGAACTACAGGTTCTTTTTTCACCAAGACTGATACCAAAGAGAGATCTATTTCTAATGAATCATCTGAAGAACTAAAAAAAAATATATAAATTGTGAAAGTATGACTATCTATATAAAGGAACTTAAAAGAACATTATTTATTAGTGTTCAAACTAATTCAGAATTTATTGGATATTATAATAATTTGCATAATTAGTATAAAGCAGAAATTAGTCATACTAATTTTAAGTTTTTAAAATAGAAGCAGATATTTTAGAAATGTTAGTACATGTAATAGCTCTCATCTTTTTAGTTCTCTTTTGTGTTTTCTTATAGAATTCTAAAGAATTTTAGTTTTTTGTAAGATATTAGATGGTATAGTTTCTTTTTTTGCTTCTGATATTTTATCTACCTTTTCAGTTGAAACTTTATTAACAGAATGTTACAAACAGACTTGAACTTGGATTTTCTCTTTTTTGTTTCTTTCACAACTATAAGTATTAAAATATTATTTTCTGAATTTGCTAAAGATGAATTTCAAGTATTTGTACAAATCTTTTTTCTTTTTTATATCTGATAAAAATAAATATTAGACATAAGATATTTATCTCTAAGCATTTTTAAAAGTTTGAATTTTGTATTTTTGTATTGCTTAATATATTTATAGTCAGCTAATGATAGTTTAACAGCATCAGATTGTATGATCTTGTTAATAGTATTAGTAATATTAATAAAAAAAAATACTGATAATAATATTATTAATATTATTAATAATATCAGTAATATTAATAATATTCATAATGCTATTATTAATAATACTAGTAATATTAATAATATTAATAATATCTGTAATATCTATAATATATTATTATTGATAATATTCATAATATCTATATATAATATATATATATATATATATTTTTTTTTTTTTTTTGAACTTTGGCGACAATGCCAATTGGTTTTTTATTAGCCTTAATTTGATATAGTACAAATTTGTGATTATATTTTTAGGATCGATTATTACTAATACTATATACTATCTAATTTAACACTACTGACTTTACCCGGTTACTCTTATGGCACCTAAGTGCATGTCCGCCGCATGCCTGCACGCAGTTACCTTGGCAACCACTTGCAGTCATGGCACACA